AGTTGGATTTGACCAAGCCGTAGCTAGCTGGGGGAGTATTGAGATTTACTTCGAGGATTTTAAGACACTTCTATTTTTATTTATTTATTTTTTTTGAATTTGGTAAATAATTGAGTTTAATTCATCATCACGGCAACGACTAGACTTCCACCGCAATAATTTTTTATTTAAGTACAAGCTGCATGCAGCATCCAACATTCATGCCTATATAATAAGTTTTAAATCCAAACATACCTTTAGCTCCAATGATTCTACCCCAAACTTTAAGTATTTGGATGAGGTGATCGTAGTTTTGAACTCTACCACTATCGTGAACTTCATTAAAGAACAACCCTATGGCCGCACATCTCATTTGAGATATTGAAATGTTCACCCGGTCTGAGAATCGAATCTCCAATTGTTAACAACTAATTCATGCTAACTTCCTAATCATTACCCTTGTTAAAAAAAAAAAAAAGTTTCAAATCGCTAAATTAAATTAAATTAAATTTTATTATATATATTTAAAAAAAAGCTTAGTATAAAATTTCCTATAAAGTGGGATTCTAACGTACAACCTCAATGTTGTAGGACTCAGTTTTTTGAATCTTTCTACCATGCTAGAGGCCTCCACAAGATCCAACCACAAAATTTTGGTAACCAAAGAATTTTGATCCTGGAAAAAATAAGGTTAAAATGTTAATTTAATCCTTCAAATTTTAAATTTTTATCAAAATTTTCCTTCAACTTTAAAAAATATCAAAATTATTCTTAAACTTTAATTTTTTAGTTCCAAAATTGCCTTTGAACTTTGAAAATTAGTACTAACTTAATCCTTAAATTTGATTACAAATATTAATTTGGTTTTTGACTTTAATTACATGTCAATTTAATTTATAAATAAAAATATACTACAATGGTAAAATAAGTAAAAACCTCAAATTCACCCTTAAATAGGAGTGTAGAGATAGATTTGCTTTTAAAAAAAAAGACAAATTGTCTCTCTAAATTATTAATCAATACAAATCACGTATTATTTAACTGGTGATGCTATCATATGTTAGAAATCCATTTGCCATCTAAGCATTTTTCAACGGAAAACTAATGTGTGATACCATCACACGTTCAATAATAGATTATTTATCTTGATCAATAATTTGAAAAGATAATTTGTCTCTACTTCTTTTTAAGAGAAAATTTGAGGATATTACCGATAAAAAAATTTGTTTGATTTCACACATTATTAGTATTTTAAAAAGAATTGATTTTATAACAAGATAATGAGTCACGTGACATTTCCTATTAACAGAAGGACTATTTTGGTATTGAAAATTAAAATTTAAAGATAATTTTGGTATTTTTTAAAGTTAAAGGATAATTTTAATATAAAATTTAAAGTTAAGGGACTAAATTTATATTTTAACCAAAAAATCAGAACTTACAAGTTTAGGACCCCAAAAACAGAGGAAATTGTGGGAAAATGACAGAACAGACTAAATATCAAACAAATCAAAGCCACGAAGAACAAGTAAGAAGATGAATCTTTGAATTTCTGAGTTTGAAATTACTCAAAATTTTGAGTAAATAATGATACTGTCACTCTCTTTTATTATTATTTTTTTTTTGGGTGCAGGTGAGGTGATTGGTAAGCCTATTATTTGGGCTTGCAAAGGCCCCTAAAATAAAGAGCAGGTTATTTAAAGTTCGGCTCTTAACAAAAAGCCGGAACGAGGCCCAATAGGAAATTCTTTTTCTTCCCCTTAAAATTAAACTTCAGCCCAAAATGAAAACACAAAACAGAATCTCACATCCAATCCAATCCAATCCAATTTTTTCTATACGTAGCCAACCCAAGCCAGCAGTTTCAGCACTTGAAAATTAAAATCAGAATTTTTTTAAAGAAAAAGGAAAAAAAAATCAACATTTAATGTATGAAATTTAAAATGTTAAGATGTTTAATTATAATTATTAAATATTTAAAATATAATGTCAGTTTAATCTTATTAAATTTATTATGTAATTATTATTAAATTTGTCATTTTTGAGATTCTAATTTTTTTCTTTTTATTTTTTTTATAAGGTTAACTTTGGGAGAGAGGACGGGGTCCTATGTTTCTAGATCATATACTTAGTAATTGCATTTGCCGCCTCGGTTGAGTTGGCAAAGCACCCTTAATGCCTTGGCCTATGCCAAGCATCGAACTGCATGTGTAATCAGCCTCTCTTGTAAAAGAAACATCCCCTCCCCAAAATTGCCCGATGTTAAAAAGAAGGTTAAATCTTCAATTTAGTTTTTAAACTATTGTACGAACTTCTGATTTGGTCCCTGAACTAAAAAATCATTGATTTGGTTCATAAATTATTGTACGGACCCTGATTGATCCTTTTTATTTATCAATTTGCCTTAACTTAGTCCTTTCATGCAAAAAAAAGCTGACGTATCTATTATTTAACGGTGAAAAATAATAATTTAGTGGTAAAAAACAGTAATTTAATTGTCATGTGTCATGTTAATAATAAGATACGTTAACTGTTTTTGTATAGAAGGATCAACTTGAGACAAATTGGTAAATAGTAGGGACCAAATAGGGGATCCATACAATAGTTCAGGGACCAAGTTAGGGATTTTCTTAGTTTCGGGACCAAATCAGGGGTCCTTACAATAGTTTAGGGATCAAATTGGAGATTTAACCTAAAAAAAATGAAGAAAAAATCTACTTCTATTTCATGTTTCTCACTGAGGGTGCTCTGCCTCTGCTTGTTCATCATCCATTTGCCAGTGATAATCATGCAAAAACTTGAGGAGGATGCAATTGTTGGTTTCATTTTTCCAGCTAAATGCAAACCTTGAATCAATTCACACAGTTCATGGAGACATTATAAAAACCTTTAAAGAGGAAAGTAATTTCAGTCACACCCTAGAGTCATTCCGTTCCTATATTTTCATAACAGGTACTTAATCTTACAAATAGTCGATTTACAGCATATAGTAGTGGATAGAACTTTGATGGTATAAAACCCAATTTTCTTAGTGTTACTGGTTAAGTTCATTATCATCTAGGAAGAAATCAGGCTCAGCAGGTTTCTGCAATGGGTCGCCATCATCCGACACTGTCCTGAAGCTCAAATTCAGACCACTCTTATGACTAGCTTCCATTATTGCTTGAAACATGGCTGACCCTGAACCTGGTAAGGATGGTTCAACTTCAGCAGTCTCCAGGTTCTTATTGCCTTTAGTTTCTGCTGCTGCCTTTCGTTCCTTGTACCCGCGCCAGGCTGCTTGAATGAAACATGCAGCCCATGTTCTCCAATGGTGGGAATGGAACCTGAAGTTGTGCCTCAGTTGCTTGCAATGTTTTTTCCTGAACAGTGATACCACAAGCTTCAAGTCTTCTGCTCTTAGAGCAAACCCTTCTACTTCAGCTACTGCTTTCACTGTGCAAATGGAGGAAGGGAGGATTATGCTTGGATATGTTTCCAGGGTCCATGTTAGAAGTTCCTCGCCACAGAAGTTACCGGGGCCAATCAGGGAAGAATTGGAGAAGCCAATGCCGTCTCCATCCTTGATGTAGGAATTGAGGTAGCCTCGGATTACAAAGAGCATAACATGGACAGGGTCACCTTCTCGGACAAGGAATGTACCCTCAGTGCACAGGGCTGGTCTAAGCCTCTCACATATGGCATCTAGCATTCTTTCATCCATATGCTCAAATAGTGGTACCTGTTCATTTCATTGATTGCAACAATTAATTTGACATTCATTTCTTACTCAAGTTGGCAGGGAAGTGAATCAGAATATTGTATCCTGGTGACTTACTCGACGAACAAGATCAAGACAGAGGTGGCGTTTGATGTCGCGCTGAAGTTCCAAGGGAAGACTACTGAGAAGAGCTTCTTCATCAACTCCTCGAGTGGCTACCCAATTATACTGATCATATTTTTTAACAGAAAGCCTTAATACTTCAGGAAGTTGCCTATGATGCATCCATTTCTCGGTGTCACTTCTCTTTATCCTCCATTCTTCTAATCTAATAGTTGATGATAGGAGATATCTCTGCCAGTGAAATATGAGATGAAGATTTCAAACAAGGATGAGTCATGACTGATGAGAGAAATAATCTGATGAACAACGTAGCTGCAACATTCCATTGTATACAAAAGTCGTACATGTTAATTACATTTATAAGGTATTGGTGTCTCATCTCAAGGTTTGCTACTTTTTCAATTAACCTAACCACCTAAAAGGCTGGTAGCATGCATTCTAAGCTTTAAAATTTTGAAAAATGCAAAGGTTTGGAAACATACTTGCATATTCCCAATGAGTGACACAAAGAGAACCACCCCAAGACTTCCAACAAGTATGGTGAAATTTATTTCTCCAATATAAGTGGTTGGGGAAAGATTTTGTCCCATGGTACTACAAGCATAAGAAATAAAGCATTACTTCTTAATCAAATACGAAAATAATTATATATTGCAAAAAGAATACAGAGAGGGCACGGATATACCCATTTCATCTAGCAAGCAGCAAGGTTTAATTTCAACTCAAAAATTTTAAGTTACCTCAAATTCCTTAAACCCCACCAAAAGCAGTATAAGTACTTGTTAATGAAAGGAGCGTTTGTAACATTATTATTCACTGCATCACCATATATACCGAACGGATAGGCGCTAGTACTTGGGGTGCATAAATTGGTGATATTACTTGACTGGAACCAGTAATTTCTGCCAGTGTCTCCAAGCCAGCTGCAATCGAAGTAGTCATACTGACAAGATGGCGATTCCTGATCACAGGTACTTTTCCAGCATGCTTCCTGTCTCTCAATTGAAAGAAGATACCAGGAGGCTCCGAAGACCTTTTTAGGAGGAATGTAAATCATCAGACTAAGAAAAACAAGATTTTAAAAGCATTAAACATAAGGTTCTTTGTTCTTGGTTCTTATACTTACATGGCTTGACAACGAAAAGAGAAGCAGGTTATAAGCAGCATTTAGCCATGCTGTTTCAATCACAAAACCAATGGCCTCTCCAACTTGAGTTGTGAGTGGAATTACAAGAAAGAGTTTAGGGACAAACTGAAAAATGATTATGAACAGGAGCACGTTTCTAGTGTTATTTATTGCTGAACCTTTAACACTGGGAATGATGACCCAGATGAGAATCTGAAATAAGATGAAAAATAGCAGGGTAATGAATCAGTTAATATTCGTTAAAAGGACCAAATTTGTGTGAAGAAATTAATATACCTGAGCAAGGGGCAGGGCAACAATGAAGTCAATACAGAATCCTCTGCGGAGGTACCTTAAAGCAATTTTCTTGGGGTCTATAACAAGCTCTCCTCTCCCAAACACCCGAGAAGTGGGAGCAACATAGGCTGTTCTAAACCGGATGAAAATCTGAATTATGTAGAAGACATCAGCAACTGATCTAATAATAGTAAGGATTAGTTTAAGGGATAGTCCAGTTTCAATGCAAACTTGATCTGAAACCACTGGCAAGAGAAAAAATAGAGGGTCCACAAACAAAGAAACCAAGCATGCTACTAGGAAGATCTTGCTCCATTCACGAATAAATGTTCCTCGAGGATCCAGTGTCTTCGTCTGCACTCTTTCAAAGTCCTCAGAGAAAACTCTGGAAAGTACTCTAGCTCTCAAGGGTAGCCTGGTCCTTCCAGATGATTCTTTGTCCTTCTTGCTAGTAGGCTCTGTTATTTGCTTTCCCTCTTCATTATTTGGAGGGGGCATGTCAGGATCATCTTGCACTCTGAAAATTGAATGCGAATGTCAGAGTTAGTAACTGCTAATCATGATCTTTCTTTTCTGATTTCATCTATCATCAACCAGTATGAATGTCATTAAACAAGAAATCACAAGAATGAACTGACCTTAAAGATTTTGAAAGACAATGCCCCATGGTTTTTCTTCCAAAGATATTGTGATTTGATCTGTAGAGTACATCAAAGGTAGAGATTTATGTAAATCAGGTGTCAAGGTAAACTGTTTGATGAAACCACTCACTGAATCAGATGAAGTTGACCAAGCAAGAAGTTGAACTCAGCAAAGATTAAAAAAAATGCCTTCATCAGCTAATATGCATGACATGATGACATCTCAACTTAATTATGTCTAGCTTCAGCATCTTCTTTGGCCAACAAGGCAGAGGTAAATGCATGTGATTCATTACTTGAGCAAATCCGCATGATTGGTTATTTGCATACACATGCACCATCAGAAAAAATATATTTTTTCCTAATGTCTTTATCAGTTGATGCAGAAATGTATTAAGGCAACCAATCCATCATATAAAATTTTTAACTGTGCATCATGCATTGCATGGCCTGGAGGTGTTATTCCAAACAGAAGTTCAATCTTTAAAAAACAATATATGAAAATAAGGAGTTGGGAATAAGCATTGACCAATATGAATAAAAGTATAAAACCATAAAATACATCTATTTCCCCTTTTCAGCATTCCTGTCAACAAAATTTTCCAATCCAATCCAATCCAACATGGTTTCAAGTCAACAGAAGTGCAGTTTATGGATATCATATATATATAGAAAGTTGCTCGCATGGTAGCTTTCGCTTATCCATGACTCATTAGATAGAGACTCTTCTGATCTAAGTTCTTATTTTCGTGAGTCTTTCAACTCCCATGCTAGGCTTAATCTACGACCAAAAAGTTATCCCTTGGGGATTTTCTCCGTGGGACTTTTCCAACAAAGCCTTTTAGACTCATGCAAGCTTAAGAGTAAGTCTTGTTACAATTTTGTACAGTACAAAAAAATGGAATGAATATTCTTAATTAGGATAAAATTATGGAGATATACATGAACTATTTTTGAGCATCAAGATATTTAAGACTTTATGTCAAATATAAAGACTATTATTTAATAACTAACTTTAACTTCAAATATTTTACTATTATGTAGTTCATTTTACCTGCCCCCTTTTTCCACTGACTAGTAAACAAAACTAAGGTGAAAATTTATAGGTTTAACGTAATGACTAATAACTAATTATGATAATTAAGAAAGAGGGTGCATTTTTCTATTCAAGAAATCTTGTGTACATACATGTGTTACATAGATTTGGCAGTTCAAATAGTTATTGTTACATAAACAAGCCATTAATCATCTATTCAAAAAGATCAAGCTCTGCTGATTTCTGCAATGAACTGCCAAGACTAGAATCACACTTGAAACTCATACAGAAAAACACCTAACCGTGACATTGCTTCTATTATTGTTGTATACAAACTCGAGCAAGCACCTAGCAAACCCAGTTCAGTCCTCACCGGCCACAGGTTCTCCTTGGCTCTGAGCTCAGCCACTTCCTTTTACTTCTTCCACTGCCTTTGGGCTCCCTGAATGAAACATATATAAATCTAGATATTACATATTTCTATGTATTATACATATTTATCCAACCATAGTTAATTTACAGTATACAGGGGCTAGCACTTAACATGATAATAGCCAATTATCTAGCTGTCAACGTTCATGGTCATCTAGAAAGAAATCAGGTTCAGCTGGTTTCTGCAATGCGCTGGCACCACCAGACTCAGCCCTGAAACTCAAATTAAGACCACTCCTAGAGCTAGCTTCTATTATTGCTTCATACAAGGCTGACCCTGAACCTGGTAAGGCTGGTTCATGTTCATCAGCTTTGACGTTCTCCTTGCCTCTAGCTTCTGCTGCTTCCTTTCGTTTCTTATACCGGCGCCAGGCCACCTGAATAAAGAGTGCAGCCCATGTTCTCCATTGTTGGGAATGGAACCTGAAGTTGTGCCTAAGTTGCTTGCTATGCTTCTTCCTGAACTGTGATACCACAAACTTTAAGTCTTCTGCTCTTAGTGCAAACCCTTCTACGTCAACTATTGCCTTGACCATGCGAGTGGAGGAAGGGAGGATGATGCTTGGATTTGTTTCCAAGGCCCATGTTAGAAGTTCCTCACCGCAGAAGTTACCAGGGCCAATCAGGTATGAAGTGCTGTCTACATCGGTGGTGTAGGAATTGAGGTAGCCCCTGATTACAAAGAGCATAACATTGACAGTGTCACCTCTTCGGACAAGGAATGTTCCCTCAGTGCACAGGGCTGGTTTAAGCCTCTCGCATATAGCATCTAACATTATTTCATCCATTCGCTCAAACAATGGTACCTGTTCATTGTTTTCTATTATTTCTCAGTTCCAACCAAAGTTAGGGATGAGAACCATAATGTTGGATGTTGGTGACTTACTCGACGAACAAGGTCAATACAGAGGTGGTGTTTGATGTCTCGCCGGACTTCCAAGGGAAGACTATTGAGAAGAGCCTCTTCATCAACGCCTCCAGTGGCTACCCAGTTATATTGATCATATTTTCTTACAGACAGCCTTAACTCATTAGGTAGCTGTCTGCGATGCATCCACTTTTCTGCATCAGTTCTCTTGACCCTCCATTCTTCTAACCTAATAGTTGTTGCCAAGATGTATCTCTGCCAATGAATATGAATCATGTTTAAAAATGAAGATAGACGAAGAGATAAATAACCCATTAACAAAGAGGTAAATTGGTTTGGAAATCCCTGTAGGCTACATATATTTATCAAGGTATTTGCAACTTTTTCATTGTCTCCTCAAAAACCCATATACTAAAAAAGTTAAAACTTTGGATAACTATAGAATGAAAATAGGTTTTAGAGACTTACTTGCATATTCCCAAAGAGTGATGCAAAGAGAAACAGCCCAATGCATCCAAAATAGATGGAAAAAATTATTTCCCCAACATTAATGCTTGTGTAAAGATTTTGTCCCAGAGTACTACATGCAATAAAAATAAAATAGCATTATAGTTTAATAAAGAAATGCATTATGTTGCTCTATTGCAGAAACTATATGTAAAGGTAAAAGATTTTTCCATTTAAACTTTAAGCTTTTAAAGCACTTACCAGAAATTCTTTAAAGCCCAGAAATAGCAGCTAAAGTACTTGTCAAAGAAGGGAGTGCTTGGAAGACTAGCACTCAGAGCAGGAAAATATATTCCAAACGGATAAAGGCCATTATTTGCATTGCAAATGTTGGTGACATTGCTTGACAGAAACCAGGAAATTCTGCCAGAGTCTCCGAGCCAGTTGCAATTGAAGTAGTTATACTGACAAGGTGGTGACTCCTGGTCACAAACACTTTTCCAGCAGGCTTCCAGCCTCTCCATTGAAAGAAGATACCAGCAAGCTCCCATAACCTTTTCAGGAAGAACAGAAATCAGTGAGCTAAGTGAACAAAGAACGTGCAATTATCAAACATTAGTTTCCTGTTACTTACATGGACTGCCAACAAATAGAGAACCAGGTTGTAAGCAGCACCTATCCATGCTGTTTCTATCACAAAACCTATGGCCTTTCCAACTTGAGTAGTGAGTGGAAATACAAGAAAGAGTCTAGTGAGATACTGAAAAATGATTATGAACCTTAGCATGTATTTTGTGTCATTTGTTGCTGAAACTTTAAGATTGGGAATGATGACCCAGACGAGAATCTGAAATAAGATGAGAAAAATCAGTGCAATGAATAATTTTATGATGTAAAAGGACCAAATTTAAGTGAAGAAATACCTGAGCAAGGGGCAGGGCAGCAATGAAGTCGATACAGAATCCTCTGCGGAGGTATCTCCAGGCAATTTTACGAGAGTCTATAACAAGCTCTCCTCTTCCAAATATCCGGGAAGGAGAAGCAACATAGGCTGTCCTAAACCGTATGAAAATCTGAATTATGTAGAAAACGTCAGCAACTGACCTGATAACAGTAAGGATTACTTGGAGGGATAATTCAGTTTCAATGCAAAGTAGATCTGAAACCGCTGGCACGTAAAAGAATAAAGGGTCCACAAACAAAGAAACCAAGCATGCTACTAGGAATATCTTGCTCCATTGGCGAATGATTTTTCCTCGAGGATCCAGTATCTTTGTTTGCACTCTTTCAAAGTCCTCAGAGAAAACTCTGGATAGTACTTTAGCTCTCAAGGATTGGATCCTTCCTGATGATTCCTTCTTGACCTTTTCTGGCATTTGCCTTCCCTCTTCATTATTATTTGTTGGGACCTCTGGTATGCCAGGATCATTTTGTACTCTGAAAATTGTATGAGAATGTTGGACATAATTGATGATTAAGTGAATCTTTAGAGGTTTTAGATGCTAATTATGATAATTTCTTTGATAATTCCATCTAACCAACATGACTGTCCTTGAACTAATACTTCCAAAAGGAATAATAATAAAGGCATTTAAGAACAAGCAACAAGACCTTAGAGATTTTGAGTAGCAGTGCCCCATGGCCTTTCTTCAAAGAAACTGATGATAGTTTCAAAAACTGGATTCAACCAAGAGATTTATGAACATCAAGGGAAAAAGCAAACAGTTGGATGAAATCATTTACCAAATCAGATGAAGCTGGCTAAACAAGAGCTCAAACCACAGAGAGCAGAAAATGCCTTCACTGGCTAATATATGGCAGTATGGCACCTGAAAATCATATGTATACATATACATAATGACATATATCAACATTGAGCACCTTCTTATGCCGACAGGACAGGTCATCACGTGTGATCAGTTACTTCAGCTAATCGGCATGATTTGCCACTTGCATGTATACTCCCTAAAAAATTCTAATTGTCCTGATGTCTACATCAGTTGATAAAGAAATATTTAAGACAAACCATAATCTAAAATTTTAATAATATCAGTTACAGGCAATGGATTGCATTCACATCAAGCATGGCCTAAAGGTCTTAGTCTGGAGAAGTTGAAACTGAAAGAAACAAAAAGAAAATTGGCAATTGGGAAAAAAGGTAAGCAGTGACCTTACCATATTATATAGAAGAAAATAAGTAATACTACCATTTTTTCTCTTTCTCAATTCAAAGTTCCAATCTTGCACCATCCTGTAAGGGAGCAAGTCAACAAAATTGGCCAGCATTTAACCATAGGGAAAATCCTTGATACCCATCTTCTTCCCAATGTTTTCTTTGCGTTTTTCTAAATGATTTCCAAACAGGATAAACACAAAGATAACATTTTTAAAAGCAATAATTTTAAGGAAAATCAAGGGGTTTGGAGGGGAGAACAAGTCAATAAGGATTCTTTTCTTTGTTTTCCCTCAAAAATCCTGGGTTCATGCATAATTGTGTAGCAAACAACTCAAAAACTTTTTCCTATTTTTTAAGAAAATGACAACAGAATTTCCATTTTCAAAGGGCCGGGAACCCAGCATTCGATTGTCAACTTGGAAGAAAACAATAAAAAATTATACAATGTCGTTAGTCTTAACGAATCATTCATATTTTACCGAAAAAAGAAAGTATTAATTTAGAAAAACAGACAGAAACAGAAGGATGTAGGTCTCTGTCTGACCAAAGAGGAGAAGAATTAAGAAAGATAAAAGAAGAAGGTCGTTCTATTTAAGACTTTAAGTTACATCCTGTAACAATGGATAAATACTGTTCTTTTCCTATTGCAATTTTTTTTTAATAAATTTTTGTTATTTATTATAAGAATAGTTATCGATTACTTAAATAATTCAATGGTTATTTTTTTCATTGAAAATAAGAGATTTTAAATTTAAATTCGCATAACATAAAATAAAATGAAATAAAAAATAAAAAATAATTATTTTTTTATTATGCAACTAAATTAAAAAATTATTGAGATTAGGTACGGTCAGAATTGGAGGAGAAATAAAAGATTACTTGGTTGATTGCGAGGCGATAAGTAAATTGAGTGCTACACGCAAAATCGTTACATAATGTCACGCGCAATTTCACAATAAGTAAAATGAGTAAATTAACTGCATTTTTAGGCCCAATAATTCAACTCAAGTTTTAAGTATTTAGGTGAGATAATCTGAGTTTTGAGTTTCACTATCTTCATGAACTTTATAAAAAAGTGAATTAATGATCGTGTGCCTCATTTGAGGAGTTAGAATATTCACTCAATCTAATAACCAATTATTAACAACTAATTTATATTAATTTTCTAACTATTATCTCGTTAAAGAAAAAAAAAAAAGTAAAATGAGTAAATTAACTGCACTTTTAGGCTTAATAATTCGACTCAAGTTTTAAGTATTTAGGTGAGATAGTTTGAGTTTTAACTTTCACTACTTTCATGAACTTTATAAAAAAGTAAATTAATGGTCGTGTGCCTCATTTGAGGAGTTAGAATATTCACTCAATCTAATAATAAATTATTAACAATTAATTCATATTAATTTTCTAACTATTATCTCGTTAAATAAAAAAAAAAAAGTAAAATGAGTAAATGTATATAAGTGCTACACCAAATCGTTTCTTTCGTAACATCATGCGTAGCATGCCGTTATGTTAAATGAAAAAAAATATATGTAAGTGTCACATTAAAGATTTATTAATTTAAGTAAAAAGAATA